TGGAAGAGTCTTAAATTTTCGTTCAGGGTGTACCACATGCATTTTAAGGAGGCATATAACGTATTGTGTTGATGGTATTTATCCGCAAATTCGTTTTTACGATTTTTTAACAATTTGTGTTATTTTAAAATTATTAGACGTATTTATGCTTCATGTTGTACTTTCTTATTAATTTATTATGCATGGCAATTTAGTTTTACTATTGTTTTGTTATTTTACTTTTTGTCAAGCACTTTAATAATTAAATTTCTACATATATATTTTTTTATATAGCCATGATATGGTTTACAAGAAATTGCCTTAAACAAAAAAAAATGAAAAAAAAAAGCCCGGAAATAAAAAAGCCCGTTAGGCCCGCTAAGCCCACGAGCCTGGCTCGTTTAGCCTAGGACCATATAGGCTTAGGCCCGTCACGGGCTGGTTCCACCCGTTGAGCTCACAAAGCCCGGGACCGTGAGGCCCGGGACTGCCAGAGCCCAGGCCCGTTAAGCCCGGCCCGTTTGGCCCATTTAGGCCCGGGCTCGACCCAGAATACAACATTAGCTGAAACAGGCTTCAAGACAATGGAATATTAAACTCACAGATGCCTTAGTGGGAGCAGGGTATCAACAGAGTACATATGATCATTCTCTATTCACCAAACAGACATCACATGACATTATAATTATATTGGTGTATGTTGATGATCTCTTGATTACAGGAAGTAATATTTCCTTAGTAGAAGAGGCCAAACACATATTGCATAACAATTTTAAGGTCAAGGATTTGGGAGAGCTCAGATATTTTTTGGAGATTGAGGTGATGATATCAGATTAGGGAATATTGTTGAACCAACGAAAATATGCACTGGAGTTAATCTCTTCCACAGGCTTGACTGCTGCTAAACCTGCATCTACCCCTATTGAGATAAATCAGAAATTGACCACTACAGAGTATGACAAACATGTTGGGCACAATGGTGATGAAGAGTTGCAAGATGTGGGAACTATCAAACACTAGTAGGCCAGTTACTCTATTTAACCAATACACGACCTAATATTTGTTTTGTTATGCAAGTTCTTAGCCGATTCATCCAGCATCCCAAACAATCACACTTAACTGCAGCACTTCGGGTGATTAGGTACATTAAAGGGTCACCTGGTCTTGGCATTTTCCTCAAGAAGGGTCCTATCACTCACCTATCTGCCTTTTGTGATTCAGACTGGGCAGCTTGCCCAAATACACGAAGGTCGATCACTTGATATGCTGTTAAGCTTGGGGATTACTTGTTGTCGTGGAAGTCAAAGAAGCAGCAGAGAATGAGTCGTAGCTCAGCTGAAGCTGAATATAGAAGCCTTGATGCAGTAACATCTGAAGTTACTTGGCTTGTTGGATTGCTGCAATAATTGAGTATTGAGATACATCAACCTGTTGAGGCCTATTGTGATAGTAATTGATAGTATAATTTAGCAGTTTCCTCGATGATGACTCAACATGCACGAAATTAACTCATAAGTTATGGGATTTCAGCATTTACTCAGTCGTTACAAGTTTTCCAAAAGTAACAGATGAATTGGGTAAATGTTCATAATAGACCTATAATTCAAGGAAAGTGATTACCTAGAACTAGTCCTATAAATAGACACACTTCACCACCATTGTAATCATCTAAATTTTCTATCTTTACAATTATATACATTGTAATTCATAGCAACTTGTTGCCATAGTTCCGCTCTTCAAGCTCTGTTTGGCTCATCATCCTATCAAGGATCATTCAATAAAAATTATTTCTTCTCCATTTTGCTTTTATTATATTATCTGTCATTAGATTCATTTTTCACGTTACTATCACGTTGCATTAATAAAAATTTATATCTTTCGGATCAAATCGGTTACTTGTGGCCCATCATATAAAATTAATTGCTTTGACCCTGCAAATTATTTTCTGGGTTAAACAATAATGATGTCCATTTGTGTTCGTTGAGATTTTGACTTTCCCTTTACTGAAATAGATTGTGATGGAGAAATTTTATCTTGAGTGAGACTCAACCAACAAAACTTGTATAAGACACCTCTAATTATTAGACATATGGAAAAGTGGGTCCCATGGTACTTATGCTACTCTTTTGTCCCCACAAAATTCCTTTATCTTCTTTCTCCTCTTACTAAACTACATCATCTTCAATTTCTTCAATGTATCATCTCTCTTTCGTTCCTCCTCTTTTTTTCCAAAGCAGTCTCAAAGAATCGAGTATCAAATATTTTGATTAACACATTCAGCTCAAACAACAAAATACTACGCTAAAAACATAACCTTGCATCACTAAGAAAACACTTTACAATTTTACATCATAGCAAAAAATAAAGTACACATAAGAATCCAAAACAGAATATTAGATCACCACAAAAGAAAAGATCTTCAAACCCAAAGAAATTCAAAGATGTACCCAAGCAGTAATATCAAAATAAAAAGATAACTGTGAAGTTGAGTTTGTACTGCACACTAGTGAGATGCCCAAATTAATTAACTTCAACCAAGCTATTCATCATATAATTGTATTACATAGGAACCAGAAAGCATAGAAATTTAAAAAATAAGTGATTCTTTCACAAAAGTATTGAACACATTATTCTCTCCCAAAATTTAGGGGAAAAAATTCAGTTAGTCTTCTTTTTGAATTCTTGAATCCTTTACTCGATCCCCTTTTTGAATTTTTTTCAGAAATTGAGGAGAAGATAATTAAGAAGTGAGGAAGAGAGAGAATTCTAGAAAAAAAGGAAGCGGGAACTTAAAATGACTGATTTTTTTATTATTCATTCAGTAAAAAGGGGTAGAAAGTTGAGAAAGTGACGGTGAAATGGGAAACACGTAACTACCCGAGATATAAAAGAGGGAACCAGCAATGTGGGACCCAATTTTTCACATGTCCAATAATTAGAGGTGCCTCATACAAGTTTTGTTGGTTGAGTCTCACTTAAAGTAAAATTTCTCGATTGTGATGGCCCTAAAATATCGTGGAGATGCCGTACTAGGTGGTCTATATTCTGGGGTTAATACAAAGCATATAATCCCGACGAGCAAAATGGTAATGCATGTACCCCTACTCTCATCTTAATCTGCTAGCTAGAGATATATTTTACTAGTTTTAAAGCTGCTTATTCTTTTGTGCCTTTATGTTGACTAATTGTTGTTATATATGTAGGTAGAAGAGTACAGTGGGCTAAAGCTGCAGCCACATAAGGCCATTGTTGGAGCTAATAAATTTTCTCATGAGAGTGGCATCCATCAGGTTTGTGTTATTTTTTCTAATTAGTAATTACAGAGTTTCGTGTTGTGCATTTTTTGGTGATATTGCTATTGTTGAGCACAACGTTTTCCCGTTTTAAAGTTAAAGTGGCCATTATGTTAATCTACTACATATTGCAATTTCTACCTTCTATCATTCAGTTCTCATTATGCAAGAGAGAATCGGCGTATCATTTTTTTTTTTTTTTTTTTGTGATTTAGGATGGAGTGTTAAAGAACAGAGACACATGTGAGTTTGTATCCCCTGAAGATGTTGTGTTTCATCGTGCTACTGAACACGGTATTAGTCTGGGAAGACTCAGGTATGATTTGATTTTTCAGTCTACGATTTTCAGCCACACAAATTGAAATACACATAAGTTTTTATCATTTAAGCTTTTAAGTCAATAAATTTTAATTTCTTATTTTATATTTTTCTTAAATTTAGTGTCGAATCAAACAAACTACATTAGATAAATTTAAACGGATGGAATATTTTTTATGCTTAGTCGCTTACCGCTCTATTTCATTTTATATGGTATTTTTTTTTTAATTTGTTCCAAAAAAAATGATATCTTATTTTATTGAACCAAAATAAAAAAGACCAAAAAGTTAGTTATTATAGAATGGAGGGAGTAGTAAATAGGCATTTTCCAAAGTTGTTCCCACACTATACATTCTTTAAACCGTACTCTGGTACTATTGTCCCATACAATTTCACTACTACCATTATATCACACAATCATCTCCCTTTTTCTCATTTAGATCAATTGAACTAGGTACATTTTTCCTTTAAGAATTTGCTAACATGTTGAAACTTTTGTGCAGTGGGCGCCATGCATTGAAATCCAAAATGCTTGAGGTAAGATATATACCCTAGGGGTCGTTTGGTTAGAATACAATTTATACTAATATAAGTTATGCCGGTATAAGTTATAGTCGGAGAAGTTATGCTGAGATTATTGTTTATTCATTGTTTGGTATGTTGTATTAAGAATGATAATTACATAATTTCTAAGAATGAAGATATAAGTTATATCGGTGCTAATTACCCCACCTTCTATAAGGTATAAGTTATCCCAGTGTTAAAAGTAATACCGGGATAACTTATACGTGGTTTGCTAACCAAACAGAGTATTAAGGTGGTATTAAATTTTTATACCACCTTTATACCTTCTCATACCTCATACCAAACGACCCCTAAGAGTTCCATATAATGCTAATTAGAGTAATATTATTGTGAACGTGGATCAAAATCATTTCATTTTGTTACAGCTTGGATATGAATTTGAGGGGAAAGAACTTGGTGACATCTTTTGGCGATTCAAGTCAATGGCTGAGAAAAAAATTTTCAATTAGTGATATTTCCATAATGCAATGCTCAAATTTGTTATTCATGTTGTTTGTGCAATTTTTTTTTCCAGTTCTTCGGTATAGTGAATATGTTTGTCGCCTATTTAATTTATCTTCCCTGCATCTATCTTTCAGAAAATTACAGAGGAAGACCTAAGAGCACTTGTATCTGATAAAGGTTTCCAGTCTCAAGTTGCTTGACAACTTGAAAATGTCAGTACAGCAAATGAAATTATTTATCTGATGCAGGAGCTTGTCAACTAAGTATGCAACAGTTTGTCAACAATTGATGCAACAACTTTCTTTTCTTTTATCTTTTGGCGAGTTATGTCCCACGTTGATTATTCTAGTAAACCTACTTAGAGTATGAGCCTATAGGCTATATAAGGGAAATAAGAGCGATAAGTAAGAACATCATTGTATTGTATAAGCATAGCAAAATACGTAGATTGTCACTTGATCTTGTCCCTAAATTCATGTTACGAATAAGTTAACCACAAGAATAAATTTACGTACTCAAATTTCTTAAAAGTGTATCTATTACATACCTCTTCAGTATTTGACTATTTTTTCTTAGCAATTGTGTATCACGCACCGATTAAATTGTGACACATATCATTAACTTAAAGAAAAAAATTCTAAATTACCTGTTTGACTATTTTTTCTTAGCAATTAGAGAGCGAGTCTTGTTGCAATGAACTTGGATGATGAGGCCTTAGAATAACATCAGTCTTATATGAAATGTTATGAATCACCTGAGCTATCTAACTGGGATGAATACTTAGCTGCCTTGGTTGAAACATTTAGTGAGGAGTTTTCTGAACCAATGTTAGAGCTAAAACAGTTGAGATAGACAGGTTCAGTTATGGAATTTCAGTTTGCTTTTGCTCTAACTCCTAGCTCAATACGATTTGTCTGTGAGCAAGCTATCTCCTATTTTCTAGGTGGACTCAAAGATGAATTAGTGAATCCTGTGAAGATGCATGAATCTCAGACTCTATCCATAACATATAGGCTAGCTAGGTTAGCAGAAGCTACTTTAGCTGCTAATGCTCGAGGACAAAAGTCCAACTCTAGTGGACATTCTTCCTTTGCCATGAAGCAACCTGTCTATGATTCTTCACCAGCAAGACCACACCTTACCAGCCCTGCTCTAGCAACTAAGCTAGCTTTACCTGCTCCCCGAGCTCCAGCTGTTCCTAAGAACAGGAGGACAATCTCTCCTGCTGAAATGCAAGCTTAGAGAGCACATGGCTTGTGTTACTTCTGTGATGATAAGTAATCACCTAAACATAAGTGTACACTTCCCAATCAATTGTTTGTATTGGATTTAGAGTATGGCGATGATGAATGCTCAGAAGAAGCAACGCCAAAGGCAGAAAGTGATGCTATTTATAATGAGGAATGGTCTGCTACTAAAGGTGATCCTCCCATGATTTTCTTATGTACGTTGAGTGGAATACAGGGTGCACAGACCAAACATGTGACTGAGTATAGTAACAAAAGGCCATTATGAATTCTTTTGGATGAATGGAGTACTCACAACTTTATAGACTGTGAATCGGCTAAGAGACTTGGTTTCCAGATCTCTCCTACTAAGGTTGGATATGTTAGTCTTGGTAATAATTATATGGAGGCCACATCTGGAGTAGTAAGGGATTTCTAATGGATGTTACAGGGTACATCTTACTCTTCAGACCTTATAGTTTTTCCAGTTGGGAAGTATGACTTAGTTTTAAGAGCTTTATGGATAAAAACACTAGGACCAGTTACCATGGACTACACAACCTTAACTATGACATTTACTTATCAAGGTAAACTCCAATTGCTAAAGGGTGTCTCCGAAGAATGCAAATTCTCCAGCACCAAGGCTATCAACAAGATGAATGGAGATGAGGTCTAATTCTTTATGCTACAGGTCTTAGTTGCTGAACCTGAGTTACCAATAGATGACCAGTTTAATGCATTACGTTTGTCTAAGGAACTCCATATTCCTGCTATTATTGATGCACTTCTCACTCAATACCACTAGGTGTTTGTAGAACCAACAAACTTACCTCCACAAAGAGGTACTTTTAATCACAGTATTCCCCTATAGCATGGGTCTAAACCTATCAACATTTGACCTTATAGATATCTTCTATGAAGAAAGACATCATTCTGGTCAAAGACATGTTGCAGCAAAGTGTGATCCAGTATATTAATAGTCCTTTTACATCTCCAGTGGTGTTAGTAGGCAAGAAGGATAGAACCTGGAAGTTATGTGTGGACTATAGGGAATTGAATCAGTGCATTGTCAAGGACAAATTCCCTATGCCTATCATAGATGATCAATTGGATGAGTTAGAAGGAGCAGTGATATTCTCCAAAATTGACCTTCGATTAAGCTATCATCAGATACCAATGGTACCAGCTGACATACCTAAAAACAACCTTCAAAACTCACTTTAGCCATTATGATTATCTATTTATGCCATTTGGCTTAAGCAATACTCCTTCTACCTCCCAATGTCTCATGAATCACCTATTCTAACATTTTTTGAAAAAAAATATTTTAGTTTTCTTTGATGATATCTTAATATATAGTAAGAGTCTACATGACCATGCTTCTCATTTACAGCAGGTGTTTGACATCATGGTTCATAACAGTCTATTAGCCAAACATTCTAAGTGTGTCTTTGGAGTATCTAAAGTAGAGTATTTGGGCATTTTATCTCTAATGAAGGAGTTTCTACAGATCCTAAGAAGATCACTGCAGTTCAACAATGGCCTACGCCTACTACAATAAAACAACTAAGGGGCTTCCTAGGTCTTGCAGGTTATTACAAGAAGTTCATTAAAGTTTATGGTCCTATTAGTCGACCATTAACTGAGATCTTAAGGAAGGACAACTTCAAATGGTCTGCAACTACTGCGCATGTACGTCTCTGGAAATTTTTAGTCAGGCCTATTTGTGTAAATTAGGAGTAATCTCGTTGAGCTATATGAAGCCTAAGCTCGTCCCAAACTAGGAAACTTGGATTTTGGAGCAACGTTTTGAGAGAAGAAGGCAAGAAAACAACATAGACTTTGAATACTTCATCCAAATCATTCGATACGAAAGTCTGTTTGAATTCGTGGTTTGTAATATTTTCTTGTCCTCTTAATATTCTTCTGATAAACAATTTTACCACAATGGAGTAGTCCTTCTCTGGGTTATTAATAGATATTGTGAATTAATTATTATTCGAGGGTTTGATTGATGTTAGTTGCTTGAATTTGTTGAACTAGTTTTGAATAAAATTACAAAGTTATTTGGGGTTTCACTTTAATTAGAAGAGAAGTGTTGCTGCAATTATCATTGTGTTATCTTGTTTGGATTAATTTCACGACTCTCATAGTTAATCGAAAGAGCTTGTAGAGTTATCAATTGACCTAATTTAGAGGAATAGTCGAGAGACGTTCTTCGTAAGAACATTCATTCAACGTATTCTTGCATATGTTCATAGCACTTGTCATTAGGTTGTTTAACAAAACTCTCATTCATTCGGAAGAAGAATTTGAATCCTTAATATAGTCTAATCATCTGTTGAAATCGGAAGGGTCAATAGATATTAAGAGTGAACTTAGCACAGAGTTATCCTGAATAATAGTTGATCACATATCTCGTTGCTACTTAGCTACCCAATTTCCATTATTTGTTCATAATTGATAATATTAGGTTTTACTCTTAGTTCTTTGATAACTCAAATCAAAGGTTTATTTTCCTGAATAGTGTTAAGCTGAAGATTTATTTTAATATTATTTAAACAAATCGAGGATTTAATACTATTCTATCTTTAACTAGGGAACCTAAGTTTTATACGTTGGTTTTGCGCTCGTCATTGTACCGTGTCTTTCAACACCAATAAGTGAGGCCTTGACATGCTCCAACAATGATGACTGAGGCCGTAGTTTATGCTTTATGCATGTTTGGACCTGAGGCTGTAGTTTATGCTTTATGCATGTTTGGACCTGAGGCCGTAGTTTATGCTTTATGCATGTTTGGGCCTGAGGCCGTAGTTTATGCTTTATGCATTTTGGGCTTGAGGCCGTAGTTATGTATACGTATACTTGGGCCTGAGACCGTAGTTTATGCTTTATGCATGATTGGACCCGAGGCTGTAGTTTATGCTTTATGCATGTTTGGGCCTGAGGCCGTAGTTTATGCTTTATGCATTTTGGGCCTGAGGCCGTAATTATGTATACGTATACTTGGGCCTGAGACCGTAGCTTGTGCACATATATATTGGGCTCGAGGCCATAACTTATTTAGATAAACAGGTTGTTCATCATTTAGAAGAGGGAGTATTCATATCCTAACTTCCTTTATCATTTCAGTTATCAGTTATCAGTTCAGTTATCAGTTATCAGTTGTCAGTTCAGTTATCAGTTATCAGTTATCATTTCAGTTTCAATTTCAATAGTTATCATTTCAGTTATCAATTATCAATTCTCAATTATCAGCTTAGTTTCAGTTTCAACATTTTTAATTCTTTCTTTCAATTACTTTACATACCAGTGCAATTCAAATGTACTGACGTCCCTTTTGCCCGGGGCCTGCATCTCACGATGCAGGTAATGATCTTTCAGGGCATTATCATTACTTTATAGCTTTTCAGTATTTACAGATAGTCAGTGTTTTCAGTACTTTAATAGAGGCTTCATAGACTAGAGTAACAATTAGATAGAGTCTCAGGCTTTTCATGTTAAGCAATGTTGGCTACAAATATGTTTTAAAATTATATTAGTATTTCCACACATTGATTTATATCATCCAGACTTTTAGTATATTAGCATGTGTTAGTTTATCTTCTATATTCAGTATGTTATGATATCACATGTTGATTCAGCTAGCCAGTTTGTTTGCTCGGTCACATGTAGTTAGGCACCGAGTGTCGTATTACATCCTGGCCCAGGTTCGGGGCGTGACACATTCGCATTGAGCTGAGCTGAGAGCCGGGAGCTAGAGAACTATTCTTTGCGTTCGTGTTAGTTGTGTCACGATCCCGTAGTCGAGATATATGTGATCATCGAGTTCATGTGGAAATTATCGCAAATGTGTAAAGTATTTTTGGAGGCAGATGCATGTGTTCTTCGCGATCGCAATGGACATCCTACGATCGCGAAGGGTATGTCCGTTCAATGAATTATAAGAACTCTATTTCGAAGGTTCAATGAATCCATCTTCATTTTTGGCATTTGATTGAGGATTTCAAAGTGAAA